CGGCCAGCCGGGGGCTCGGCCCGTGGCTCATGGTGTGGCCGGGCGCGCCCTGGGCTCGAACTCGAGGTCGGGCTCAGCGGCAGCGCCGGAGACGTGTGGCTGACGCGATCCCACTGTGCATGACGGCCACCGCGACCCACCGCGACCCACCGCTCTCCGGGCTGCGGGTGGAGGACGCCTCCTGGCACCTGCGAGAGAACACAACCGTTACGACGCTGTGGCCACCATCCATCCGCACGATCAGCTGCGCGAAGGGCCCGGCAGGAGGAACAGCATGGGCAAAGGTGGGAGTACAGAGGTCTGTTCCAGGAGACACCCAACGAGGCGGGGATGGCGTGCAAGGGCCTGCGACCGCCTCCTCACTGGCCTCCAGACTCCCTCCTCCAGTGCCTCCCCCGTGCAGCAGCAGCCTCTGATCTGAAACCTCGATCTGCTGTCCTTGATCCATCCCACCTCACACCTAACGTCTTGTACGGCTACTACACCGTCTCCACACTGAACCCACGCGGGAGCCCCGGTCTGCGCCAGGAGACCCTTCCCTGCGCTTCCTGCACTGGGCTAACTCTTCTCGTCCTCAAAACTCATCTGACATATCACCTCCTTCTAGAAGCCCTCCGCGACCACCTCAGGCCAGGTCCATAGCCTCTGCCTGTGTCTGCATCACTACACGACCTTGCTGTACCATTTATCTGTGTCTGCTCCCCATTCTCATCCCAGGCTGTGAGTTTGCTGAGGGCAGTGGCTGGTCTTGGCCATTGTTAGTCTTAGCACATGATGACAATGACAATTTCTGGAGGGCCGACCAAAGGCCAGGCACCGTGCCTAGCTAGCGTTTTATGTGAATTTTATTTTCTTTTAATTTATCAATATACAATGTAGTTGATTTTTGTGTCCCTTTACCAATTCCTCTTTCCCCCTGCCCCCCATCAACATTATATCTGTTCATTTGTCTTAACAAGTTCAAGGAATTGTTGTGGTTGTTGTGTCTTCTTCCGTGAATTTTCTAATTTATTTCTCTCAGACTTGAGATGAGGGAAATTATCAAACACATTTACAGTATCTATGAGTCCCAGTGCAAACACCAGTGAGGATTTGCTGAATAAATTGCATGTACCGGTGACAACGGTGGAAATAACCAGTCTCTTAGATGGCGAAGATGTGGTAGGATGTTCCCCACCCTTCTCTGCCAGGGCCACCCCTCCCTGACACCCTAACTCACCGCAAACACTCCCTCTCCCTTTCTCTTGTGTCTCACCTCAGCTCCCCCACACCCAACACTGGGCTCTGCCATTCATGGACCATGCCCACCTTTAAAATAAATGAGACACGTCCCTCCCTGTCTCCAACCTGCCCCTCTCTCCTTCCATTGTGGCCTCATGCTGACCGTCACCAGCAGCCCCTCAGGTACATCACGCCCTTCCTTCCCCATTCGGCTGAGCCTTGGTCCACAGATCACACCTGCCCCTAAGAGCTCCCTTTCTGAGTGACCAGTGCAACACTGGTGGGACTCACAGCATGGCACTGTGGACCTCAACACTGGCTGGCCCCAACGCTGCCTGCCCACCCTCTGTGTCCCTTCTACCCCCTTCCAATCTCTAATCCCCCTCACTCTCGGTAGGTGATCTAATGTCATAGTTTGCTGTCACGGGAAGCTGTCAAGACCCATGGTCCCCTCCTCTCTGCCACTGAGAGGACAGAAGGGTGCCCCTTCCTTGAGCCCAAGGCCCCTCTCCCATCCCGGCCAATGATGTCCTCTCCAGAGGACTTACCCCTGCTGAAGTCTCTTCTGGCCCTTTCTTTGACCCTCCCCTCTCTCCTCCCTTTCAAGGCCCATCAAGAGTGGCCCACCTCCCCAGCCCTCTCTCCTCGGGCCACACCTGCCAGGCTGTCATTCTCTCTCAGGACGCCATGCTCACTCTTCAGCAGCCTCCCTGGAGGGCTCCCCAGGCTCATCCTCAAGTGCCGCTGTCATCTGGTCCTGGGTCCCATTCTCCTCTCATGCTGCCCCTGCCTGAACCATCTCACTATGTCCTCAGCAACCCTGAACCTCTCCCTAGCCCAGGCTGTCCTTCAGAGCCTCCCATACTTCCACCAGGATGTCCCACGGCCATCTCAGATACATCTTGGTGTGTAAACCTGACTCACTGTGTCCGTTCCCCTGACAACAGCTCCTCCCTCTGGATGCCCCCTCTGGGAGAAGGCCGCCCCCTCACTCCTTCCACTTTGGGGGCATCCTGGAATCTGCCTTCTCCCCTCCCAACCACCTCCCCCGAATCCTGTCAGTCTGTCTTCCATACATCATTTGGGTCCATCCACCTTTCTCCTCCATAGCCACTAATCTGTCAAGATCCCCCCACCATCATCACACACCTGGACAACTGTAGCCACCCCCTGAACCGCCCCCCACAGCGTTTGCCTCCTTCAAATCCATTCT